TATTATCAGTTTCTTTGCCAGTGCTGCATGTGGCTATTGTAAAAACATAAAAGTAATAAAAAGTTCTTCAGCTCTCAGAAGTCTGTAAATAATAACTTCAGCTTTAATTGTATGCAGTAAAGTGAGGCATCATGTTGTTTAAAAGCTTTATAAAAATTACACTGAATGTTATTTACCTGATTTAAAAAAAAAAATCACTTGGACTCCTTAATAGCCACAGTAGTATTACATATATGTATATACCCTGCTTTCATTGAAGAAAGAGTTGATTTAGGTGCTAGACTGGTGAAAATGATTTTACAACCACATCTGTCTTCATTTGCTTTGCATTCGTACTGTATTAAGTGTTTCAATATTTTTGGTATGCCAACTTCTGATTGTGTACCGAGAGCACTGTTTACCTCTACTGTTTATGTATATATTGTGTTTATAGGATCTGTTTATCTCTACCACATGAACGATCAGTAGAACTGAAAACTCCAATGTGTGCTGAGAAAAACCTCAGTCTGGTTACCCCAGGGTGTATCAACAGCCAACCAACCGTATGTGTTCGGGTTGGTGCCCCACACGAGTTACCCCATCAGCTCTAGGTGAACCCAAGCTGTGTGCTGCCACCTCCATCTCCACTTCTCAACCCAACTGCACTTCCAATTTAAAATTCCAGCAGAAAACACACCCCGCCCTCCAAAGACACCCACATGCCGCCTATGTCTTTAAGCTTCTGGCCAGCTTCCCACACAAAAGTTTAAATTCACCAACTTCACGTGTCCTGTTGCACTCTCCTGATACACCTTTTGCACCATTATGCGTAAAACGTTGCCTTTTCAACAGTGGAAGAAGGTTCTGGCAAGAGACACATTTTGATGGGCAAGGTGGAAAGGGAGGTACTGACAGATCAGGTACCAGCAGTACCTGATAAAAGCTCAGGCAGCAGCTTTTCCCATGACATATGCAACCTGTGTTTCAGTTTTGTCGCCAAAGGGGAAGAAAAACCTGTGAAACCCGTCACCCGCATCCTGTTACCTACAGAAAACCACTGCACGGACAACATGGCATAGTACACCTTCATGCATCTTAAGTCTAGTGCATCCACAAGGGAATTTCTATGCTCTTTAAAAGCCTGCCCCTAAACTCACAGCTCTAAAATCCTTCTAAGTTGTACGAGACAAGGAAAAAAAAATTAGCAGGAATACATTTCTGTGATGTTTCCTCAACCTCATTGCTTTTTGCATTTGTATAAAGAAATAATGTACTCATTTGCATACAGTTGAGCATTAATTTTCTAAGTGTGGCATGCTGTTTATGCCAATGATATCCCCAGGCTTCATTTCTTTCTCTCAATCAGTCCACTTAAAATCAACATCGAAACTTCTTGCAGAGGCAACGGAAATTATAAAATTGCTTGTATTTTTGCATTCCATTTACTATGCATTGTAACCACTTCTAGTTTAGATAGATAAGGTTTCTGAGAAATCAAACAAATGAAGATACACATCTAAAAGTCTTTGCGAGGCCCGAGTTCTTCAGACTACGTATGAACTTGTGTAGTAAGAGCACATGTAGAAACTGTGATCAGCCAGCCATAATGCTTTAATGCCAAGCACGAAAACTAAAATATAGTAGCTTTCGCAAAGGGGAAAACACAATTTAGAGCAACAAAAAATTAAAATAACTAACTTGTAACACGGACTGCGCTAAGATTTGGTAACTAGAGAATCACAGAATAGTTTAGGCTTGAAGGGATGAGTAGAAGTCATCTAGTCCTGCTCGAAGCTGGCCCGGGGCTGTGTCTGACCAAGTTCAGACCGTCTCCATGGGTGGAAAGTCCATAGCCTCACTAGGCACCTTGCTCCAGTGTCTCTCACGGTGGAAACATTTTCCATTATGTCAAATCAGAATTTCCTATGCTCCAACTCACACCCGTTGCCCCTCACACTATCACTGTGAACATCCGAGAAGGAAGGACAACAGCAAGTCCAAACCTACAGATCAGGAAATGCCAAGTGGTTGGTCTTGCTCCCGCTTCTTTGCTGCACAAATCATCCTCCAGTTTTCACTAAATTTATCAGGTGCCATTATTTCTTGCACAGGACTCCCACGTCTTTCCAGGACAAAAAGATGAACCATGGCCCGTATGGAATAAAACCATCTTTAGCAGGATCTTCCCATTATCGAGGGAAAATCTGCCTATTCTGCAGTCCAGGCTGTTGTGGCTGGCCTGCTGGCAGGTCCTGAGATTTGTCATTAATGCCAGCTCATTTACCTCACACGACTCAACACTCAGCAGAATGGACGTCTCCTCTTCCATCAATTCACTGTCTGTCTGCCAGCTAATCATTTTACCCATACATTAGTTTCTCTGTTCATAAAACAGGCGTACAGATATTGTTTTGCTTCTCAAGAGCACTCAGAGCAGAAGGAGGTGACGTTTGTAAGGTCTCAGATTGCACAGCTTGGAGAAGAGGATGAAAAAATGCATAATTGTATATTTACCGTAATTATTAGCATCTCATGCATTTGGCTGTAGATTATCTACTGAACATTAGGAGACAGTCCAGCTAACTCATTCTGTTACTATCATGAAGCAAAATCCTCTTAAAAAGCTTTCTGTAATCATGCAGATCACTTAATAAAAGTGTTTTAACAGCACAAATCCAAGCAAGGGCTACCCAGGCCTAAGAAGCCTACTTGAGATGAACTAAATGTACTTGTTATTTGTGATTCAGTAGACAATAGCCCACTATCCAAAAAAGCTAGAGTGGCCTTTCTCTTACCTTAAATAGGAAAATCAAGATAGAATATTTTTACGAAATTAGGGTGCTTGTATGATTTCCTAGAACTAGGGGTGATAGTGGTTGTAATATGGTGCAAAAGGAAATTCGATAAGAATATGAACATAGCAGTGCTTTTATAACTCTGATGAAAGGTACTCGTGCTGCCAATTTTATATATGATTTTGCAGTTTTATGAGGTTAAAAAGCATGCTGAAACGCAACAGGAAAAGGAGTAAAAATAAGACATAAAAAGTATCCTTAAGGGGTGCTTTACTAGGGGTTCCCAAACAGAATGTTTCAATCCCATCTTGTTTCTCCCAGGTAAATAATCTGTTTGATTTTAGGAAAAAAAGAAACCAACTCCTAGTTTCTACTTACATAAGTCTGTAACATTTTATATGACTTGTCAAAATTAACTGTGAGAAGGCAATCTAAAGTTAACAGAGTCTGATTTAATCTAGGTCCAAACAGGCAGTGACTATCACTAAAGCCTATTTTAATGGTCAAAGGTATTGGGCAAAAAAATGAAGGCAAAGTTATTAAATGAAAAACTGATAAAATTGAAAAAAATTACAGATCTGATAGGTTGTGGTCAACCCTCATGGCAATATTTTCTAACTTTCATGTATTTTCTATGTAGATATTTTTATTTCCATACATTTTTTTCAATAAGGACTAATTAAAGAAATCTCAGAGGCAAAAGAGCATTCTCCTGTTGTCATGAAGAGGGAGCATGGCTTCATTTTATGTAAGGAATAAACCTTCCACTCTCCTCAACTTTACTCTAACTTATTTACAGTTACTACATAGCTGCAGAAACGACCACTCTGCAAGTACCAAAAGAACAGGCAAGCTTTTACTGAAGTCAGATGCTTCAGCATTTATTTTCCAAAGCCAAGAGCACATCTCAGTGCACATAGCAAACAAATCTATACCCATCTTGCCAGTCATAAATGAAACAGACCAAAGCAATGCTGCAAAAAATTATTAGGATTATAAAAAACCAGCTACAGATCATTTGTCTCTCCACAAAAGATCAAGCCTACTTGAGTACTATGACAATTTATGAAATGTGAAGTATCATGCTAATATTCATGAATACTATTACCATTTTGGTTTCCCTTGCACGCTATGATTTAATCTTGAATACACATCTTGAATGTTAGTGCTAAGCTGCTTTACTGCCCGAGATGCCTTCACGCTGATATCCCACAATAAAATTTTGTGCAATTAAGACATATTTCAACATGAAATGGATTCCAGCTGGAAGACTGAAGAAGGGAGTGAGATGCTTTCCCCCTATTAGCGATGCTCAGGCACTGTTCTTCAGAGATGCTGTTCCCTCCATGTACACAGAACCGTACCATCTGCACATCTCTGGAACCCTGTCACGTGCTGCCTCTTCAGCTGTGACCCCAGTGCCCGCCATTGGCCCAGACCCTAGTTAAGCTTCTTCCATACAGCCAGCCACTGCCAGGACAATGCCTGGGGCAAGACAAAGCCCCACCAATCACATGGGACATCTTTTACCCTCCAACAAACCTGAATGTATCATGGGACTGTCTGAAGGACCCTTTTCCTCCATGATGTCTCTGCACCTTCTGACAGCCACCTACAGAGACAGGTAGGTTCTCACCATCGAGAACCTTGAGCAGGGAAATTTGGTGCATCTGCTTGTGCACTATGGATTGTCTTTAAAAACATCTTGTTTCCTGATCAGTCGTTTTGAGCTCTGACAAGTGACTGGTAGTTTTCATTAGTTTTCCCTTGGGTGTATATGGGAGGGCCAAGTGGCACAGTGAGCTTGGAAGAAGTGACTGGCTCACATCCCTGGCTAAACTTAATGTTTAGATTCAAGCTTTGCACTGGTGGAAACAACTGCCTGTAATACTTTACAAACAAGCAGAACATAGAGAAAAAAATCTCTGAGATGAATTATGATATTTATTTTTCATTCCTGTTTGGTTTTGGGAGTTTTTTTTGTTGCCAAAACAAATCAAGGTTCTTTGTTTGAAAAATACTTGATAAAGTTTCTCCAATGTACTTCTTGGTTGTGTTCTTCCTTTACCTTGCAACCGTTTGCTCTTTACAGACACATATCAAACACATTAAAACTTCAGTTAGCAGGAACAAACATAGTCAAGCAGATGATCACATACTTTTTATTTTCTTCAACATTTTACCCCCTTTTTGTTCACTGATATTTTTAAGGAAAACACTACTTACCCAACATTTTCTGCATCTTCATCACACTCAGCCCTATATTTGCAAACTCCGCATTTTGAGTGTTTTCTCTGAACTTCCGTCCCAGATCCTTCATACTCTAAAAATAAATAAGGTATTGTTAACAGAAAGCACAAATTTCTTATTGTTCTGGTTTCAGCTGGTTTAATTTTCCTCCTAGTAGCTGGTACAGTGCTGTGTTTCAGGTTTAGCACGAGAACAACGTGATAACGCACTGATGTTCTGGTTGTTGCTAAGCGGTGCTTACACTAAGTCAAGGACTGTTCAGCTGCCCATGCTCTGCCAGCGAGGAAGCTGAGTGGGACCACAGCAGGGGCAGCTGACCCAAACTGGCTAAAGGGATATTCCATACCATATGATGTCATGCTCAGTATGTAAACTGAGGGGAGTTAGCCAGGAGGCAGTGATCACTGCTCAGGGACTGGCTGGGTTTGGTCGGTGGGTGGTTGCACCACTTTTTTGTCATGAGCTCTGTTTCTTTTTTTATTGTTTTCATTACAATTCTTCATTACTATTATAATTATTATCTTATTGTATTTTATGTCAGTCATTAAACTGTTCTTATCTCAACCCACAAGCTTTCTTACTTTTGCCCTTCTGATTCTCTCCCCCATCCCACTGAGACGGGGGCAGGGTGAGCAAGCGTCTGTGTGGTGCTTGGGTACTGACTGGGGCTAAACCATGACACTTATTAAGCTCTGATTTTGCTTACCTAAATCCATTTGCCTTCAGGTATACTGTCAACGTGAGTTATCATATAGGGAAGCTATTTACCTTAGAAGTGTTCAATTTTTTTTAAATCAGGCAATTGGAGGCTGGAATTGGAGAACTGTACCAGTGACAAGAAAGCATCTCTGAAAACACTAATGTTTCATTGATTGACTCTTCCTTTATTCTTATTTCAGTGTTTTGTATTTTTTCTCACCCCAGCAGACACCAACTAGCATTGACATGTGTCCCAGTCACATTTAATCTTAATTGTCACTGATAATGTGTGAACCCTGTCCCTTTTAATGTCCTTGAATGCTATTTTCTTTGACAGTCTTTAATTACAGATATCCTTATGCAAGGTTACTGCTTGCATATTTTTACCCTTTCTCTTCCTGATGATGGGATTAAACTGTGCTCATGTCTCACATGTGCTGTGGTATATTGTCCAGGTTACTCTGATTAGTTGTAGAAGACTAGAGGAAAAAAAAAGTCATCTTAACAAGAAACTGGTAGAAATGCAATGTCCCCTAAAGAGTAAAATTAATGTCTCAAATATTCTGATCCTAAAAACTTCTGCACCAATCTTACTGTTGACAGGGACATCAAAACTCTTCACTGATCAAAAGAGAAATATAACTATGCTCTTATTACTTCACTACCATTAGTCACTTTTATTTTAACAAAGACATGAAGGAGAGACAGATGTTTGAAAAACAGTAAAACAGCCACAGAAATCTGTAGGAAGAGTTGAGAACCATTTAACATATGACAGTATCGGGGTGGTGTACGGCTGACTACACAAGGCTATCAGATGGACAGAGATCAAAGTGATTGTCTTCCTCATGGCAGCTTTATGTGCTGTAGCAACAGCTAATCAAACACCACCAATTAAAAAGCTGCTTTTAAATTCTTGAAATATAAATAGGAAATCAAAATAATCCACAAGAATCCTTCCTAGTTTTCCTGGATCCTGGCTGAAGGGAATCTCTCCCTCTTACCTGTGGGTCTGCGCTTACCTGAAGAACAGTGCAGGTGAGCCTCTCAAATTAACTTCTGTCTAAAGCATGCTGTGCATTTTTTCAAAGTTAATACATATCAAACTTTATTACAAAATTCCCACGTAGAAATTCTACCACCACTCTTAGTAAGTTGCAGTAGAGGTCATTTGCTTTTGTCTTTAGAAACCTACATCTTATTTGATTTTTCCTTCTTTCTATATACCACATTCCTATGCTGGTGTTTGACATCCTAAAGTATCCTTTTAGTGTCAGATTTCACTTTTCCACGCCAATAATTGATCCCCTACAGTTTGAATAAGTTAAACAAATGGCACTGCTCATGGCTTTCATTCATGGTATTTCCATTTCTTTTGCTGTTCTTATGACCCCTGACACCCTTCCCCAGCATGTGAACACCCTCTGGAGTTACAGGTACAAGAGCTGCACACACTGCTCCAGAAGAGTTGTCATCAAAGCCAAATACTGTCTGAGATATACTTCAGTTAAAACATCCAAGAATCATATTAATTTTTGACAATTTTTCTGCACTTACCATTATTACTCATTTTATTATTCACCTTATTCTCCTATGAGTCCTTTACAGGGTCATCCCTCTGTAGGAGAGAGGCTGACATCCAGGAAAAATCGCTCAGATCCTGGACTCGCTACACACAACTCTGTCCTCGGACATTAAAATCCTGCCTGTTGTATCTTGTGAGCTCAGTGACCTGTCCCCTGTGCCCTAAACCTGATCGGTACTGACTGATTTGCTCCCAGGTCACCAACTGAAGGGGTCATGAGGCCAAGAACAGTCCCTAAAACACCTGTATGAGAGATTGCCTTTGACTGAGAAAGGTTACAGTTTTGAGGTGATATGCTTACATAAAATGTTCAGTTTTACAAAGGTATTTCTTGGAAAAATTAAATTTTTTAAAAAGTAAATTTCTTAATAAAGGTTTTCCATGAACCCATGAGGACTGACATAAAATATTTTCCCCTCCCTTAAATCTGTACTCAGTTGATCCTTCCACCATTTATTCCACTGCTTTGCTTCTGTTATATGCCAGAATGAGAGGCTGCAGCCCCCTCCATCATTGCATTTATCTTCTCTCAAAATACTTGTACATTATTTCTCGTCGTTCTACTGAAGAAAAAGACCAGAAAAGTCATCATCAGCCCAGGGAGTTCTTTAGCACCCAGTTTTAAAGCTTTCAGGTGCCTGCTGGTTACAAAACACCCGCCTTCGACATTTGGTGCTTAATAACCTTCTGCAGTACTGCTACCACGGAAAATATTTCATCATATCCCATGCATACCACCTGAATTGACTCCAAATACAACCAGAATGCTTTACAGAGCACTTTCGCTGCACTATTGGCATCTCAATTTTGTAACGGAGCTAAAGAAGCAGCGCGTAGACACAGAGGTGCATACGCACCCCTCCTCACCGGCTTTTGTTCTGCTCCCTGTGCATACCCCGCTCCTACTCATTTTCATAAATAGCAGTCCACAACTACTTGTTTATTGTTTCTATGTGCTATTCATGTAAACTACTCTCTCTCACTGACACCCCCCCCCCAAAGTTGATTTCTCTACTTTTTAAAATGAGATTTGTTTTAGAAAAAGCGTGGCCTTTTTTCTTGATCAGAACTTGCTAGACCTGACGTACATAGAATTATTTATCTGTACCTTATTTTGTTTGCACGTAATAAATACGTGCAAGTCAAGGACACCTGCACCTTGGGTACTAATATTTTATACCTGTCAGGATGAGGTGCAATACTGATGAATGTCTACTGATGCAACATTTCCAAGTTGGGCGATAGTTGCCTATAATTTTTAGAAGCTTCTTTCATTACTGAAATAGCTGCACGATATTTCAGCACTAACAGCATGAGACACTGCATACAATTTAAACTCAAGCCCTTGAAGAAAATGCAACTTTCCCCACCAATTCAGAACAGATAAATACTGGTTTTCAGCCTGAATTGGTAACAGACATTTTCAGGACCCCAGTTGTGTGCTGTTAAAGTAAGTTAACCCATAAGTATTTGAGACCATGTTTCTCTGGTGCAAACGTTTTCAAAGAGGCAGTGCATCCCTTGACAGCTTGTCCCTCCTTTCTCCCCCACATTTGATTGTTCCTAAATAGGTTATAGCCATTAATTTTAATATTCCAATCAATCAGATCTTCCCAGCAGGTTTCAGTAATATCAATTAAGTCAAAATATGCTCCTAAATGAGCAATTCAGCTCCTCTTGTTTATTATGCAGGCTTCTAATGTTGATGTATAGATGATTACAGAATTTCTTCTCCTCACTTTCGTTGGTATCTTGATTAATTCTGTTCTTTGACATCTTAATTTCATGTTGAGTGAAAGCTCATTTTCTCTCTCTTTTCAGCTTTCCTTCGTGTTTCAGGGCAGCACCTCATTAATGCACTGTCCTTCAAAAGAAATGAGGCACAAGGATTGGATCTGTGACTCCCAGTTGTCTCTCTGAGCTGCACTGCTCCCTAACACTTCTCCTCGAGTCATTATTCCTCCGCAGAAGATGGCCAGCTTTATCTCAGGAGCTGCGGGGTAGGAGCCTGCAAATGGACAGTAGCGCTAGAGGAATCGGCCAGCAGTAAATTGCTTCCCTCGGCAACTCATTTGTGTGTTCCTACAATGGTAATATGGCTGGGTTTCTGCTGAGGGCTTTCAATCAGGTCTGAAGCAAGAGCATCAGTCTGCGTGAAGTTTGGTCTGCCCCAAGGCATGGCCTGGAAAGGGAGCTCTGCTGTATATATATACGCGTATTTATCACTGTGAAGCAGGGGGAGCTTGTGGAGAGCTGCAGCTACTCAGTAGCCAACTATGGGTGGAATACAGATTCCCTCATCTGGGAAAGCCTCTCTGAAAACCAGTTCCTACCTGTTTGGGGAGTATAGTGGTTTTTACTGATGTGCGATCCCATGGGAGCAACTACACTTGAATTTGGAGAAACAGAAAGGGCCAGAGCAAATCCCCTTCTGCACTCCAGAGCACAAAAGAGAGCACAACTCCCTGTGATTAGACCGTGATTCTCTCAGTACAACTAGCACTGGAAATTCCTCTCAAAATACCTCAGTCCACCATCACACATTACGGGCTGAACAGTTCAGTGACATCCTCTCTTCCATTAATTTTTAATGCAACTTCAATGACACAGTTAAAACAGAGATTGTCCCTGTAATTTAAAACAAAGCTGCAAACTTACTCTTTCATCTGTAAATATATATTTAAAACAAGTTCAACAACTACTCTTAGCTATCCCAAATTCTTGGCAAGCAGTGACTTGGAAAAGACAAGAAGTGGCATTACTGGTTTAACACAAGGATGCCTGATCTA